TGAACCCATCGAGGTTTCATTTTTTGTATGCATATGTTTATGTACTTCTGTGTGGTTATATCATTTTCAGTCACATGAAAACAAACATTATTTCACATATTTAAATATTTAAAGGCCACTTGAACTACATCTTCTCTCTCAGATATATTTTAATCATCCCTGGCCTAAATTCTGATTCACGTGGAGTTCTTCAGTGCTGATTGTTAGAATTTCATTTGTTTAAAATAAGTGGCTTCTGTTTTGCTGGTCATATGTGATCATAGTAGTTAATTACCACAGATGCATTTCTTAACTCCTAAATAAATCCTTGACTTAAGGATTCTTGGGAATAGTTTTTAACATCAAATATCAATTAAGTAGTTGACACACTTCTTTATCCTGCAAGGGCTTTAGACAAATCGGTAATTTGCAATGCCACAGTAAAAATCTGTTACAGCTTAATCACAAAATTTCAGGCAGTTTTAGCAACTGGAGTGAATTGAGTCCGTTGATACTAGAACTAATAATGTTACAGAGTTTTTTATCACTGATCTTGTCTGTTGCTTCAGTTGCCACAAACTGAAACACTCAGAAGACATCTTAAGGAATAAAAGGTAACAGTGATGAGCTTAACACACAGCATTTGTTAGTTTTGCAGAAATAAATATTAGCTGAAACACTTTCCAAATAGTCTGTGTTTCTCATCTCACAATAATGAACCGTGGCACACCCCTATTGCCAGTTCTTCTCTGCTGATACTGCTTCTTCTAAGGACTGGGACACCCTGGAGCAGTGTTTTTGCTGAGCCCTGGCATAGATCTCCCAGAGAAGTCAATGAGAAGACTTTAATTAATTTCCAGTCCTCCTTGTTTTGAAAATCCAACTTTTTAATGTACGTTTTATGCTGTTTTTTTTGGTTTTTCGGTTGGTTGGTTGGTGATTTGGTTTTTTATGTTTTGTTTTGGGGCTTTTTTAAGACTACACAAATTTTTTAGAAATAAAACCAAAATGATGGGATGGCTGCTGTTAATGGCTTTTACACAAGTATTTTTACGTAGTGTTTTACTACTATGATCATAATTGCAGGAATGACTGACAGGTAGCTGAAGGTAGATGTAAAGGAGTGAAAGCTGTAGGAAAATATGAAGAAAATTACATTAATGACTTAAAATTGAATCAAAGTCAGAATTGCAAATCCCCATTTTGGGGTATTTTCACTGCTAAGAATAGTTATCAACCCCCCAGTCTAACAACCAAGCAATTGTTTAGAAAATAACTGAGGTAATAATGAACTGCTAAAAGAAAACCAGAGTTCAGCGTATGGATCAACCAGCATTTGATATGTTCAAAATATTTTGGCTTATGGAATATTTGGCTAAGCATATGAGTAAGTAAAATAACACGCGAGCATTTGGCCAATGTACGAACAAATCTCGGTGCTGGGTACTAATCCTGACTTCTGAGGATACAAAACTACGTGTCTCATGGATTGAGGCAGAAACAGGAGGGGTTTGTCCTGCAGTTCTCACTCAGCTGGAGGTTCTCTTGATTTCACTGTCAGCTCTTCCTGTGTTGAGATTCCAGTCAAGCTGTCTTGGAAGGAGAATGCACAGATACCGGCACAAGCTGTTATGGTAAAAAGGAGAAATGTGAAAAAAAGAACAAAAAGGGCCACAGTCCCTTTAGCACGAGAAATAGAAACTGGCAAATTGTACACGCTCGTATCTTGGAGGCTGTGTTTACCGAAGGGTGGAAGTTTGTATTACAGTGAGCTGCTGACCTCCTTCCAAACATCGCTGGAGCGTATTAAGAACAGGCCCAGCTAGCAAGAACAGATTCTTTATTTCTTTTTTTTTTTTTCCAGATTGAAAGAAATGAGTAGGATTTATAATTGCAATTGGCTGGAAGTGCCTTGGGGAGATGGAGATTTAGGTATTGTATCATACTTTGTTTTTTAACTTCACCTGCTAACACAGGGAATATGTTTTTTCTTTCTTGTTAGTGTTTACAAAGCCACATAGGCTGCCCTTCCTGGTGAACTATACACCAGAGACCTTGGAACTAGTGGGGCTTCTAAATATAGTTCAGGATGCGTTGTATTCAGCATCTGCCAGAGACGACATCAGTCGGGAATTAATGCATTAACAGTTTTGGAATAGAATATGCTTGCTAATGCTGCTGTGATGGACCACAGTGGATGAAGAAAATGTCCTAATCTATATTCTTGTTCATGCCTTCCAAGGGAGAGACGTAGCAAGGGTGTAGGTTAGCAGAAGGCAACAATCTAGACAAAGGCTGTATTTTAAGACACCTTTGGTGTTTATTTATGATACATATAAATATGTTTTGAACATATTCTTGTTCCTGTGGTATTTAATGATACGTGAAAGGGTTTTTCTTTCCAGACTTGATTTGCATAAAATATTTCTGCTGCATTTTGCTTATGAATTTTGTTTCTAGCAGAGAAGATACAAGCATTTTGTATTTAATGGAATTAGCAGAAACAAATACCTGCTGGATGTCTCTACAGGAGATAGGGATATAAGGTGGGTCTGGGTGCAAAACAGAGCTCATGATGGGGTCTGGCACCCTGCGATTCTGTCCCATTAACATTCTTCTGAGCAGTGTAAGAGGGAAGGAGGTGAAGGAATGAAAGGTGGAAAAAATGCTGCTTTCACATCCTACCTGCATCTTTGTTCTGTTTTGAGTTATACACAGCTACAAAAATGTCCAAAGTCTGAGTGTATTTAATGGGTATGAAAACTTCAAGACACATACATTTTATTAATGTTTTTCTATGTAATAGGTGTCTTTTTTTTCCCTGTTAATTTAGGAGTAAGATAAACTGTCAAGTGAGAGAAGTTCTCATCTGAAGAGACGGGGACAAAATTTGAAAAGCAGCTTCTAAATAAAGCTTTTAATTATTTTTGAGGAATTATTTGCAGCTGCCAGCAGGAGAAACTTAAAGGACCTAATTCATTTGAATTAGAACAACTCGAGTGCTGGTTCAGCTGCTACTCCAGAAGAAGGAAACCATTGGTCAGAATTCTCATTGTGATTGCACACATCCAACCTACAGTAGGATAAATGTATCTGAGCTGATTGGGATGACAGAGAAAATACTGGTGTTTTGTCCAAAACAGGTCACTAAGTTTTCTGACCTCGATTTTTGTAGTAGAATACCCCTTAAAATACCAGTCGCTTGGTATGTGGGTTTTTTTAGCTGTTATTCTGACTAGCAATAATTGCAAAATGTCACGTTTAATAAACTGAAACCAAAACGTATAGGGAATGATCTGTATGCATGCACACACATGTGCCCACACAGGTGATGTGCAAATAATTCTGAAAGAATAACAAATCCTGGATCGGGCCTGTGGTCCCTCGATTCCCACAGATGAACGTACAAGGTGCTTCACAGACACTGGATACTCAAATCTCCAGGCATTTTTAAGATCAGGTTTATGAAGCATTGATCTCCTACATTTTTTTAACTTTTGTGATCAGCTTTATACAGTGTTACAATAATATAAATACTCAGCTGTGCTTTCATTTCGCTATGGTTTTGATCTCAGTCGCAGGCGGTAGTGCTGAATTCCACAGCGTAGTTATAGGTTCTCTGAGAAGATAGAGGCTCACATCCCAGGAAGTTTTAGTTTCATTCGCTAACATCCATAGGAAAATGGAGGTTATATCTTAAATTTCCATATCGTGTAGTATTTCATAGGTTTTTAAGTATGCCCTGATTTCTTTTCAGGTTGAGCAGTCTTAATCTTTTCGGTCATTCTTCATGTGATTTGAGGGGGTTGTTTATTGTAACCCAGAGTGTCCTTCCCGAAACAGGCTAGTGGACAGAAGGGGTCCAAAGGGAACCGGCAGCTGGGTCTATTTCTCGTGAGTCGTAGCCTGGAGCTTAGACCGATGATTGCCAGCAAATGAGCGACAGCCTTCTCACGGGATATTCATTGCAGACAAAGTCAAACGCAAAACTTAGCTAATTCTCTCCACGTTTCTTCAGGGATTTTGAGGGCTTGATATAACTCACACTACTGATTTTATTGGCATTTTGCAGTGCCAATGATTTTCTTCTTACAGGAATAAGTGGGGGAATTCTTAACAGATTTTGAAGATGGTACTTCCTTGCACAACTTGATCTGTAAAATTCGTACAACAAATTGGCATCAGCTATGCCTGCAACCCTCTCTATTGAGAAGGGATCCGTCAGTGGCCAGTCTTTTAGGGGAAAGGGCAGGTTCTTCATCAGGAGCCACAGGATGACTCTACCCGGGTTGGGAGTTAAGGGGGCGCTATCTGTGTGAAAGCGAGGTTGTTGTTAGGTTTCTTTTTTTAGCCCTTTCTTTTTGCGGTGTGATAAATGTGTGAAAATAAATGCCAAGCCTTTACATTAAGAATATCTAGCTATTTTTAGCCCTAATAGCCTATTAGAATGAGAACTTAGACTTAATATTGTATTTTTACTATAGCAAATGTTTAGTGTGATTCTCACTGTATTTCTCTCCTTGCGCTTGTGTAGTTGCTGCAGATTAATCTCTTCATACATAAGGATTTCCATATTGATTTTCATGTATATCAGCTTTTTCAGGACTTTTTCAGGCAGTTTTATGTTTGGTTTAAGTTCAAATATCAATTTGTTGAAGTCTGTAAATTTCTGTATGCCAGTTGCAAAGATATTTGTGGTTTTTTTATTAATGAACAATGAAAAATAAAAGTGGGAAATATAGCAACTGATTAGTTTATTAAATCAGATTGCCAAAATAAATATGTCAGTATTTTGTTCTCTGTACGGCATAATCATTTATTAGAGCTGTTTACAGCTAATAATAGACTAGTTTTTACTGTCTAGAAACTGATCATTGGAAATGTGGTCTCTAAAGAGGAAGAAATTAATTTCATGGGACAGTTGACTTCATTCTGTGCATTCTATTTTCTGCTTTGCTCTATGCATTCCAAAATCCCCTCTAATGCATAAGGTTTACTCAATAAATGTTGTTATTATATAGGTTCTTGGGCAGATCGTTCACCTCTGCATGAGGCAGCCAGTCAAGGACGTCTTCTTTCTCTAAAGACTTTATTGTCACAGGTGAAGGCTATGTTCTTAAAATTGCTTCAGTTTTTAATGTTACTTCATTTCTTAGCATAGATTATTAATACAGATTTAGTATGCTTTGCTTTGCTTTGTCCACTTGAATTTTTCAGAGCAGTATAAGTTTAGGAAATGTTTATGATAAAATACAAGTTAATATTTAAAATATTTGTTCTGTATGCTTTAAAATTCGCCCCCCTCCCTCCCCCCAATTTTCACCAAAGCTGCATCTAAATGTGTATGAGTCTTCCCCTCTTGCATGGTACAAGTCAGTGTGGTTCCACTGCTTTAAGCCCTCAGGTACACAGAGCTACTCAGGAAGACTCTTGCTGAGAGGAAGGATCACTGAAAGATTATGGATTTTGCATAGTTGTGATTTAACAAAAATGTACTTTGTTAATAGCAAACGGAGAGACTCTAAACTCTAAATTGTAGTATTACAGTATTGTTATATTAGCTACTACAATACTGACAAAATGTACTGTAGGATGCATTTGATGAAAGGCAAGAGATGTAATTATTAGTTCTTGAGAATCAAACATCTGCTGCAGAAAATTTCAAGGCCTTGATGATTTTATCAATCCAAGAAGTGTTTTCCTGGCTAAAAAGTCATGGCTTTAGTCAGAGAATCATAGAATCCAAGGACAGTTTAGACTCAGGGCCCTGCTGAGTTTTAAAGATCACCAAGAGTGGAGATTCCCCAGCTTCTCTGATCACCTGTTCCAGGGTTTCACCATCCCCCCAGTGAAATTTTTTTCCATATAATGAATTGGAATTCACCATGGTCCGACGTGTCTGTTGCCTTTTGTCCTATCACTGTGTATCTCTGGATGGAAACAGTCTGTTTCCATCTTCTTTACACCCTCTGTAGTATCCTATTCCTATTTCTGATTAAAAAAACCCCAAAACCTGACAACGTACCTTTATTCTGTTCTATGCACTGATTTATGAAAGATTCCTTTTGTGCTCACTGAAGATTTATTTACTGTGAGCAGAGTTTTAAGCCTATTTAGAGTGTTGTAAACGATTCATGTGAACAGTAGTGTGAGGAAATGACTCCTAGCAGCTGTTGTGCGATCTCCATGTGTCACTCATGTCTTCTTTAGGGGTACAACGTAGACACACTAACAATTGACCAAGTGACTCCGCTTCATGAAGCCTGCCTGGGAGATCACGTGGGATGTGCAAGAATCCTTCTTGAAGCAGGAGCAAATGTAAGGGTAGTTTTTGTTTGGGTGGTTTCTGTTGGGTTTTTTTGTATATGAAGTCAAAGTCTAACCTTGGTTTAACTGAAAAGGATGTATTCCTTTAATTTTTTTTTTTACTTGGTCCATACTCACCCTGTTGATTGTGTTGATCTCATTTCACTACGATAAGCTGCTGTCTGAAAGCTAGCAAAGTGATGGGTCAGAGAAACATCATCCGAGAGATGTGAGGTTAAAAGAAAAAACCCTCAAGTACATAATTACATGGTGTAAAAGTACTTGTCAAACAGGAGAACAGCAACGGGAAGAGTAGGTGCGAGTTGGGCAGACACTGCGACAGAGTAAAGACCTGGAGAGAATCTCCTACCAGTATGCCACCAGCCTTACTACTTCTCTGAATTCCATTACATGATTTCCCTTCTAAAACACGGAATGCATCCCTCTCCTTTACTGCTTTCCTCTTGCTTTGAGTGGGTTGTTCTCCAGAATGCCTTTTGTACCACTGTGCTCTTAAGATTCTTTGGTCTGAGTACAAAAGGAGCACGGGCTCTTTCCTGTACACCTGACACAGGCTGGCTGGCTGTTGGCCCACATCAAACATGGGACTTGACAAACCACTTTCACTACAATCCTCTCCTGACATCAGAGTTCAAATGCAGAGTTTCCCAAATCTCTGATCTTTGCAATGGAAATATTTATCGTCCTTACAATTCAGTTTTGAGAAGCATGTTTTCATGTTTTACAGAAAAAAAAAAAACAACATAGATGTTTCCAAACCCAATTTTTCTCCACTTCAGCTAGTACCAGGATGCTCCAAAACCAGATGCTGTAAGCAAAACTGTAAGAACAAATGTCATTTTCCTACCTGAATTGATTTTTAGTACCTGTAATGGTTTTGGTGGGTGTGTGGAAGAGGATAAGCCAGAGTTCTGGATGGAGCCCACTCCAAATACCTGTGCTCCTCCAGTATCACTCACTAGCCCTCACAGATTTACCTAGTTTCCCTCCTCATTCTCTCACACTGGGAATATTCAGTCAACCAGTGAGGCGGCGAGGTTGGTATTAAAACAGTGAGTCTGTGCTTATTATCTTTTGTCTCCGTCGTGTGAAATACCACTCCAACCTGGACCTTAAAATCACAGAAGAAAATTATAGAATCATGGAATGGTTTGGGTTGGAAGGGACCTTAATGACCACCCAGTTCCAACCCCCCTGCCATGGGCAGGGACACCTTCCACTAGACCAGGTTGCTCCAAGCCTCATCCAGCCTGGCCTTGGACACTTCCAGGGATGGGGCATCCACAGCTTCTCTGGGCAACCTGTCCCGGTGCCTCCCCACCCTCTCCAGGAAGAATTTCTTCCTGATATCCAATCTAACCCTCCCCACTTTCAATTTAAACCCATTACCCCTTGTCCTGTCACTACAGGCCCTTGTAAAAAGTCCCCCCCAGCTTCCTTGTAGCCCCTTCAGGCACTGGAAGGTGCTATAAGGTCTCCCCGGAGCCTTCTCTTCTCCAGGCTGAACACCCCAACTCTCCCAGCCTGTCCCCATGGCAGAGGTGCTCCAGCCCTCTGATCATCTTCGTGGCATCCTCTGTACTCACTCCAACTGGTCTATATCCTTCTTATGCTGAGGGCTCCACAGCTGGATGCAGCACTCCAGGTGGGGTCTCACCAGAGCGGAGTACAGGGGCAGAATCCCCTCCCTCGCCCTGCTGGCCACACTTCTCCTGATACAGCCCAGGATACGGTTGGCTTTCTGGGCTGCCAGCGCACATGGCCGGCTCATGTCCAGCTTTTCATCCACCAATACCCCCAAGTCCTTCTCCTCAGGTCTGCAAATAATTGTCACATTTAATGTGGAGTTTTCATTCTTGACAGGGTTATGAGGATCTTCCCATTAGTACACGAGGTGTAGATTTTTGGTATCGATGAAACAAGCTAAGTGAAGTGACTTTTGAAAACTTTACTGCCCAGATGTTAATGAGTGCTCTTCAGTATTCTAGGTGTATTTTGCTTTATTCAGCACAGTTTAACAAGAATAATAGTAAAATAATTTCAACTGAGGGGTGTGGTGAGAGGAAGACAGTAGCACAGGGGCTGAGCAGTTAAGTTACATTATTCTCTAACCAGTAGATTTTTGGTATTTTCATGCAATTTGTAACCATATCCTGTTAAAAAACTTAACCTCTCTTTCTCTGTGATGTTCTTAACTAGATTTTATGTATTCTAGGTGAACGCCACGACAATCGACGGAGTGACACCTCTATTCAACGCGTGTTCAAGAGGCAGCGCGGCGTGCGCGGAGCTCCTGCTAGAGTATGGTGCCAAAGCTCAGTGGGAGTCCTGCCTTCCGTCACCCACTCACGAAGCAGCCAGCAGAGGTAAGAAATTACCCGCTGAACAAGCAGGGAGCCGCTGACGAACGTCTCCGTAACAGCGTGCAGGAATGTGTCCGGTTTTGTCTAGGAGACAGCTTCCTGAGGTCGAGCAAACTCTCTCGTGCTTTGTACCAACAGGTCACAGCGAATGCCTGGAGGTGCTGATATCCTGGGGTATAGATGTTGACCAAGATCTTCCTCATTTAGGAACCCCTCTGTACGTAGCATGCGTTTCACAGCAGATCCACTGTATCCGCAAGCTGCTTTATGCAGGTATGTTGTGACTGAAATGGAAAGCCCACGGGCGTGTAAAATAAGCGTCCTCTACTCACCCCTGAGGTGAACAGTGCTCAGTCAGTGAAACGAGGACCCCCGCGTGCAGGGCTCTATCTCTAAGCTTACGCCGTGCTGCATGTTTTCTGGTGGTGGCTTACTGTGTCTTTCATGCCCGGCAAGCGTGCGGGGGGAAAAGGGGGTGAGACCAGTAGGAAGGGGTGTTCAGCACCTCCTACAGCTTTGTAGGGGTTTCTTTTCTGTAGGAAAATAGGAAGGTAAAAAGTCAGCTTTGAGGAAGGAATTTTATATAGTAATCATCGAGCTACCAACACAACTTTTATTAGCAGCGTGTTCCCACCCGTTTTCATTCTTGGTCATGCTCTGATTGGTCTTTTTAGGAGGCATTAAATTTCACGTGATTTATTCAATCCACAGGGAGCAGAGGTGTGGGAGGCGCACTCTCAGCACAACTCCGGGGACGCATTCGGCATACCTAAAGGATCACTGTTTCCAGTAGTGATTCAGGGCTTTTGTGTCCTGAAGGACAACAAATGAAAGTATCTATATATGAATAATTAGCGACTTGGCTATCGTTGCACAAGAATTCTTTTTCTAGTTAAGGTTATTTAGAACTTAAAAATAACTTATTAAGGTTATTTAGAACTTAAACAAGCAGTTAAATTGTTTCCCATTAAGGCCGTCTCCTAGTAGGATTACCTGTCCTCTTTCATGGGGTTTATGTTCAAGAACCACAGAAGTATGATTAGCACATTTTGGGACTCAAATACTGCCGTACATTACAAACAGTGACAGAAGGGCACCTTCTGCATTCGTTGGTGCCCCGAGGTGGGAACGGGTGTGCAAACTGGGGCCATAAGTAACTGCTTCTCTCAGTCTGAATGTTTCCGTACTCGATCAGTTCCTGAGAATGTCTTAAAAGTTGAAAAGCAAATACACACTGCAATAGGCCCAAGAGTGATACTGTGGTGGTATTCTCAAATTCTTGATACGGACAACAGTGAGTTATTCACACTCCTTATGGCTAGGCCTGTGATTTTTATTATTTTACTCAGTTGGGAATTAAAAAGGCAAAAAATAGTTGAATCAGGGAGAAAATTTTGTCCGATTTTTGGTCTCACAGAGTCAGTAAAGCTTCCTTAAGAAGTCTGGGTTTTTCTTCTGCTAGAACAGCCTAGAAAACTGTTGGGACAAACCCAGTTTTATGGGGACTAACAGCTTGCCTATAAGGGAAGTTCTTCCCTACCTGCTTGTTCTGTTTAGCTCTTGTCTGGATCATTTTTGCTTGGATAGGAATGCATTCTTCCAAATGAATTTAGTCCATTTCAATTTCCAATCGGTTAGCAAATCCTTATGAATACCAAAGGGTAATAATTAGCATTCTGTGGATTGGCAGAATGAATGGCTCGGGGTTTTTTGCCTGTTACTTTTCTTGACCGCGTACCCCACCTTAATTCAAATTAAGTCCTTCATAGAAAAATTCCTGATAAGAGTTGGATGCAATGGGAATCTGTTTCAAACCCTTTGCTAGCTTTGGCACGTGAAAAACTATAAAGCATCCAAGATAGATTTCTTCTGGACTTGCTGTATATTTTTATGTAGTGCAGATTTTCTTAAACATGTACAAAATGTACTTTTTTTTGTAATTAGGGCAACAATGATGCTCACATGACCTAATTTTTGCTTTCGTTCTTTTCATAAAACATTTTCCTTTAAAATCTAGTTGTGCTTAGGTATTAAAACCCTGAATAAGTGTATGGGTGCAAAAAAAACCCCAAACCACTGATATGACTGGCTATAGTGCTATGCAATAAAATTAGTAAAGTGGCTAAATTCACTGTGGCATTCTAGGACAGGGGGTTTTTTTGTTTGTTGTGTCACTTTACCTTAACTCAATGACAGTTTAAGTGAATCCCTTCTTACGTCTCTTTATGTGCATCTACCCACCAGGTGCCAATGTGCAGAAAGGAAAACACCTGGAAACTCCACTCCACGCTGCTGCCCAGCACCCTAGTACAGAGATCGTAAACTTACTCCTTGAATTTGGGGCAGACATAAATGCCAAAAATACAGATTTTGAGAGGCCTGTTGATTTAGCTGCTCCAAGCAGTTTAGTGGAGAGACTGTTGCTGCTCCATGAAGGTAAGTTTGACGCGTGTCTTTTTGCAACTATGGGTATTCTTAATTATATGAATAATATTCTTAATATTCTATGGGTATTCTTAATGCCCACCACTCAAAAAAAAAAAACCCAAAAACACTAACCACCCAAGCCAACCGTGCTACAGAAGCCAACATTGTGCTTTATGAAATGAATGTATTAACAGTCCAGTAAACCCCTTTCTAGCTATGAAAATACCCAGTAATATTTAGTCTCAGGCCAGAGCCTGCTGACCAAAGAGCATCGGGAATTGTAGAAGCTGAAAAAGTATCATCTGATGTTTTTAAGTTGTTTATACGATTAGACATTAAAGTTACATTTTTAATGGCTTTCACAGACCTCGTTAAAAAGAAGCAGAATGTTTCAGATTAAAAATATTATATTTAGTTTATAATACAAACATATTATATTTAGTTTTGGCCAGCTGCCCAAATATTTTTAAAAATGCATTTTTAAGTGCATATAAAGCATTTTATTTTGATGGTAGGCAAAAGAGTACTGTAAATTGCACTTTCTACATTTTCTTTCCTGAATTGTAAGTACCTGAGAGATAGGAGTCGACACTTAAGAGTCACTTAAAAGCCGTAAAGGTCTGTTGCCTTGGAGGGAGAGGCTGTCCCAAAGGACACTCGGTGTGTTCAGGCCGACCCATGCACCGTGCAAAAACAAGGCACAAGGCAAAGGTAGGGGATGAGCGGAGAGGCTGTTGCAGTAACCGTGAACCTCTCTTTAGGGCTGAACCGACAAGTAGCGTTGATGAATGTTTTCCTCCAGAAAACACCTCTGTGGTCTGGATGCTGTGGAAAAAAACACCAACCCTCTGGACACAGTTGGTTATCATGAAATTACCAAGGCTAGCGTAGGATTTTTTAAAGCAAATAGGTCAGGAACTGCACTGGCAGGAAGCGCGTACGGTTTAAGGGCCCAGAGGAAGGCTGCAATCTGGTGGTTCATTTTGAGGGAGCGGGGAAGCACAGAGGGACAGAGGCCTTATCGCGACCTAGTCAGACCACTAAACCTGGGCCAGGGTTTTGGGGTGTTTTGCCTGCTTATTCTTGTTGCAGCAATGCAGTTGTAGTGCAGCTTGGAGTGCCAGAGCACGTATTTCACCTGTCCTATGAATAAAAAGAGCAAAGCCAGAACCAAAAACCCTGCGGTTTCTAAAGTTGTTGACGTTGGGTATTTTTTGGGAGCAGGTTTTTGATTTACAAACACAAATTATTTGCTGACCTGACCTTGCCTTTTGGAATATTTCTCTGGTTATTGGTAAGGTTTCAGCAGCCCTTGTCTTTATCTGTGAGAGCAAAAAGACAAGGAAGGAAAAGGAAGGAAGGAGAAGGACAAATTTGCAATAGGTGAATGTGGTTTTTAGAAATGCTGCTATGGTCCAAGAATGTTGTAGAAGGAAGTACTGGCTTTTTGAGTTGTATAATTGAACTCCTTTCTTTTTTGTTTGCAGCCACACCACCTTCTCTCTGCCAGCTCTGCCGGCTTTGTATCCGAAATTACATAGGAAGAGCTAGGCTGCATCTTGTCCCACAACTCCAGTTGCCAACAATACTGAAGAATTTCTTACAGTATAGATAACATAGCAATTAACCTTCAGAAACTTGAATTACAAGTACTTTTTCTTCTTTTTGTTTATTGTACGTTTTACCTAAAGAACTGCTGGGCGGGAAAAAAAAGCGTTTTGCATATTACTTAAAAATATATATATATCTATCTCTTTGACATCTGGTGTTGGTATCGGATAATACTTGGGAGCCATTCAGCAGCTGGTACGAAGGTGCTAATACGGCTGAATTGCATAAGTGTGCTGATACTCTGGGAAATGGCTGTGTAGCTTTAGCTTAACCCTTACTCAGTAGCTTTAGTGCTGTTAGTTTTAATTGTATTTATACTCTGAAAATGTGTTTTGACACACCTGAACCACAAAGCTGCTTCATTATTATTCATTAAGTTTGTCCATTTGGAGCCGTTATTTTACGTGTTTTTAAATTTCTATGGTCTGTGTGCCTGCAGATACTCGATGATAGGTGAACTATATACATGGATAAAAATAAAACAAATGGATGTCACTGTTTCTTCTTTTTCTTTATACAGACAGTTGGTTAATGACAGTGAGAAACTTCCTTTATGCTTCCCCACAGCCTCTGCTGTGAATTGGAATTAGGCTGCTGTGAACATAATCACAGTTTTTTCAGCCACACACAGTTTGTAGATTCTCTGCTTATTAGCACCGTTAGTGACTTCAAAAAATCCACGGGAATATTCCTCAAAAGCCTTTAAGCTGGGATGCTTTCCGTCTCCTCTTGTGAAACAGAGTCTTCTGGGCGCTCTTCCATTCCCTTTTCCTAAGAGTGCTGTAGCACGACTCGTGGGCGTGTGAAATGGTTGTTTGCCTCCGAGAAAGGCATATGTTACTGCCCGGTGGCTGTCAGGTTTCTGCAGACGTATCGTGGAGATGCAGATGCCGAACCTTCAACCTCAGGTCCAGGAGGTGGATGCAAGGCTCCAGAAATACGTCAGTTCACTGTGCCAGGACAGGTAATGCTCTGAAAAGGACATTATTTCTCTTGCTGTCTAGTTTATAAACAGTTACCCAACCCCAAAACGTGTGTTGCAGAATCCCAAAATGCGCAGGCGGGAATTTCCGTGATCGGGCTGAAATTTTCTTGTTCAGCTCTGTAGCCAGAGAAGGAACGCCGATACTCCCAAGGAACACTAGGAAACCCAAAGGACTTCTCCCTGGCTCGTGCCCTTGCGTGGTGACGACTGCTGGTCATGTCGGTAAAGGTGATCTGACTACTTCATCCCCACGCAGCGCTCCTTTCTCGGCCTTCTCTTCCTTTGGGAGCAGACTGCCTCCTGGCTGACGGACACCCAGGTCCTGCAAAGCAAAGCATGAGACACTTGAAAATTTACCAGTTGCCCTCGGTGATTCACCCCTCCCGTTACTTTTCAGTGACTCCTTTCAGGATTTACGTTCCTACTGGAAAGATGCTGACTGAGGAGCCAACCATAGGGGACGTTTTCACGAGGAAGCACGCTTGCTCAGTTGCTAGGTTATATCCAACCTCACAAAAAAAGCAGCTCTGACGCTTGCCCTTGCTAAAAGTAATCCGAACCTGGTTCTGTTCCCTGCACCAACTCCGGTGGCATCCCCGTGAAGGAAAGGCAGACACAAGGAAGAGGGGCTGCTTAGGAGTCCATAATGTACGTGGTCCGCAGTGGAGAGAGTGGGGTGGGATGTTTCATCCAGGAGCTGGTCATCTGCGGGTCTGTGTACGATACCGTCGCTGCATGACTTCAAGAAACAAGGAAGTGCCACGGCGCCGTCGAACTTCTGCACGTGGAACGGGATCGTTTGGACCCTCACCCCACGTGGCGCTTTTCCAGCTGGACTCGGGAGTAAGTGCCGCTAAAAAACGCTCTCGTGTTCCACACCCTGAGATCAGCTTTCAGCAAGCATGGCTGTGCGGCGGGACGCCTCTTCCAAACAGAAGTCAGCGATGATGGCAGTTTTGCCGAGAGGCACGTCGGAATCCTAAGCCGGCACCTCGCAAATAGGCGTGTCCACGCTCCCGTGGCGTTCGCAGTATCATAGAATCATGGAATGGGTTGGGTTGGAAGGGACCTTAAAGACCATCCAGTGCCACCCCCTGCCATGGGCAGGGACACCTTCCACTAGACCAGGTTGCTCCAAGCCTCATCCAGCCTGGCCTTGGACACTTCCAGGGATGGGGCATCCACAGCTTCTCTGGGAAACCTGTCCCAGTGCCTCACCACCCTCCCCCACACGGCAAACAGGACCCTCTTAGGAGACCACAGGAGCGGGGTGGTCCTTTCTCTTCAGCGGTAGAGGCCGGCAGACGAGCCAGACGAGAACCCGGGGCTCGCCAAGGGTCATGTTGGGGCTCCAGCCGCGGGCAGTAGGCAG